ATTCCTTAACAAATACTGAAAAATATGCTAGAAAGTTTTTGGATATTTGAGAGGAAAGAGTAATAGGACAGGAGAAAAATCTGATTGAATAAATAAAATTTCATGTTTTTGTTTCCATTTGCCATTATGATAGAAAGAGGCAGGTTGCAATACCAAATCATTTCGTATCTAAAAACTTCTTTCTCATTGTTAGGGAGTGAACTGTGCTCCCTCTCCTCCCACTTCCCATCTTGAGATGAAGCACTAATGGCCATGTAACTGTGGAGACAGGAACTTTAGGAGGTAATTAAAATCAAGTGAAGTCATAAGGGTAAGGCCCTAATCCAGTAGGACTGGTACCTTATAAGAAGAGGAAGATGCCAGAATGCACAGAGGGAAACACCATATGAGGATCCAGGGAGGATATGCTATCTACAAACTATGAAGAAAGGCCTCACCAGGAATAACACAATTGGCACCTTGCTTTTAGACTTCCAGCCATCAGAAGAGTGAGAAAAATAAACTTCTGTTGTTTAAATTACACAGTCAGTGGTATTTTGTTAGGGCACTCAAGCAGAATAATACATTCACTATTAAGGGGGAGCTTAAAGCACCCTTCAATCTTATCATTAGAATTGGTCCCAATTTCTATTGACCAATGAGTGGAAGAAATATATCACTTTATCTTTTTATTTTAAATAATTCCTAGCACATGGCTACAAGTAATCTACATTCTGACACAACCTGGCCTAACAATATGGATGGACACTTATGCTCTCACTGGGGACTATCATCTGCCTTTCTTGGTTTAGCTTTCATCCTCGGTAAGCAAGATAACTATAACAATATCTGACATGACATCCTGACTGTACAATGTCCATAGGGACATACAATACCTCTTGTGCATCTCTATTAGGAGGGAAGAATCAGTGTTTTCTTCCCAAAACCTTCAGCACATTTTCTCTAGCATCTCATTGGCTACAGTTGATCCACATGCCCATGACAAGGGGTATAGATAACCCATCATAGTAGTTCTGTGCTCCTTGTTACATGGATCAATTGTAGCCAGTGAGATGCTGTTATGAGATGTTGTTATATGTAAAAGCATAAATGAAGGAAAGAGAGTAGAACCGGAGAGAAAAAGAAACACTACTGGTTCCAGGTCAGGAAAGGGAAAAGCAAGGTATAAATTGAAATGCTGATTATGAAATCCTATGAGATAGGACTTGTCAGTATTCATTGAGAATCATTGGTGTGTATTTTTCCACTATTCAGCCAAAACAAGTTAAAAGCCAGATGCTGATTTTAAATTAAAAAACAAACAAACAAACAAAAAAAGCATTTAAAAGTCTGTATGTCTACCTAGGAAAATAAGTAATTCAAACAAATAATGGATGTATTCCATATATATTCCTAAATGCAATCAGTGATGCAAATGAGGTGCAAGCTATAAAGAGCTAGCTTGTTATAGTAGACAAAATGAGGGCTTTACAGCTAGGCAGCCTTAGGGTACGTTTCAGGCCAAAAGGTGACTCAGCATGAGTTCTCCTTAAGCCTTAGTTTCTCATCTGTAGAACGGGAGTTGAGTATTAATTGTTAAAACAGTCTAGGATTTTGTAAGAATTAATGAGAAAATACAAAGAACTTGGAACAGTTGCTGGAGCATAACTGGCTCTAGAGTAAATAAATGTTACTTATTACAATTGATTCTATAAAATTTTATAACTGAGATGGAAGTGGCAGGGTGAGATAAAGTGGGTTAATTTCAGGAGAAAAATGATATTATCATTAAATCATTATTCTTTGCTGGTATCTCTCATAACCAATGGGGTATGTGTGTATGCTTTTGTGGGTGTGTGTGTGTATATATATATATATATATATATATATATATATATATATATATATATTTGTTGTTTAGTTTAGAGATCCACTTTTATTGGGGAAAATGAGACTCCCCAAATTCAATGAAATCATATAAATTCAGATTTTCCTGCCAAAGACAAGATTCAAATTAGATGTTCTGACTTTAAGTCTGCTGCTCTGTCTACCACTTCCACAGAATAAGAATTTTTAGTCATTTTTGAATGATTCCTTGTTTACTGTTTTAAAAAAGTAGCCTTGGAATCTTTCAATCACTGAGTTGGAAAGACATCATAAAAACTATGTTTATCTTGTGAGATCTGTTCCCAAACCACTTGGGGATGTTAATCTTACATATATGCAGGGGCAGAGAGTACACAGTCACTTTATTTCACTATGTATTCGTCCTTAAAATGAAGTTATACTTTGTGCTGGTGTTTGTTTGTTTTCTAAAGGTTAGCTATCAATAGATGATTTCTAATGTCTACAAATATTTTCCCAATTGACTGGTTATGGCATATGAAATTTTACCATTGGAATACATGTTATCATTAGGGTTAGTTTTAAGAAAGTCCTTGCTAAGCTGCACTGGGAAGGGAAGAGGAATATTAACATACTTACACCCATTGTTCTCATCAGTTTTCTGTTCTAAGGGACCCCATGGAGAGTGCAAAAAGATACCAAAGGAGAGCTGGATTTGAATGCAAAGTGTAAAATAATTCCAAGGCATGGGGAGGCAGAGAGAGCTGACACTTCCTGCCACCTCCAGGAAGTGTGGGCAGCCAAGAACATGCAGACAGATGAGAAAGCAGGGGAAAGGAACAGAGAGGGTGGGATGCCAGAAGTCAGTGAAGCCTACTTAGGACTATTTAGTCCTAGAGCCATTCCTAAAAATGACTTAGAATTCTTTTTTGTTTTTAATTATGACTTTCTCGAGTTTTGTCATCAGCAAAGATGTAAAACAACTAAAAAGGCCAAGGTAAGGCATGTTAATGTTTCTTAACCACTAAACACACCTAACTTGTTACATTTTTAGTCTTACATAATTTCACAGCACATATTGTTGGTACTTGATAAATATTTACAGAATGAATCCTTCCATGATTCTGCCCCAGTCTCCATACTTCAGAAGTGATTCAATATTGAAGGCATGGTAATTTTAATGCTTGATGTAACCTTTCAAACAACAACAGCCAACTTTTGTAAGATTATAGTGTTGTCTAATAGAACTCTGTCATGATGAGAATGTTTTTTAAACCTGTTCTGATGAAAATTGTAACCGCTAGTCACATATAGATATTGAATATGTGAAAGGTAACAAGAGAGACTAAGGAACTGAATTTTAACTTCATTTCATTTAAATGAAAGTAGACACAGGTTGCTAGTCGATACTATATTGGACAGTGCAGGTCTAAAGGTTTTGTTAAATGCATTCTATTCCTCTTTTTATTTTTATTTTTTATTAATATCATCAATTATTATATATAAGTTCCTTATTATATATAAGTTTGTGTTTTTTCCTTTAAAAAACAGAAATAACTTGGTTTATCTATGGCAATTAGCACAACAAACCAAAAACGGCTTGGGGGGAATTTATATGTCATTATTTTGAGGACTTTAAATATGTGGTCTATTTCCAATTTCAGCTATTGACAAAAATGGAATGAGTCTGTGGAGTAGAAATGGTGAAGCAGGAGTAGGTTGGGCACTGAGAGGCTGGCCTTTTAAGTCAATCTTTCTTTTGATTGCCTCCTCCTTCCTTAGGAATCTGGCACCTTCCGGCTGCCTCCAGGGTCTGCAGGGGGCCTCTAAGGCCCTTTTTCGTAGCCCTGAATCTCTTAGCTTCCTAAAGCCCTCCCCCTCCCTTCCCAGAAAATGTAGGCACCGCTAAGTAAGGGGGAAGGGAGTAGTTAAGAGAACCAATATTAAGTACCTACTGTGTGCTTCCTAGACACTTTACATGATGCTCAGAAAAAAAAAAGCGTTGCTGTCATGAATGTTACCTCCCTGCCAAATAAATGGAGTTCGTAAGTTTTTTTTAAATGGATAAATACATTTTTATCATGTTGAAGCAGATACTATTCCCATATCAAGATGAGGATGCAGAAACTTATGAGCAGTTACATGAATTCCTCAAGACTAACCACACCAAATGCTTCCTTCGCTTACTTAATGTTTTTCTCTCCTATTTCAACCCCTTGCCTTGTTGTCTGTATCCTCAGGGTTTAGCTCTTTACCTTTCACAAAGAACCATTAGATAAACTGGCCAATAGATTTACACGAACGGATATAAATGAATTGATAGAACACCCCTCCAGGCCCTCCCCCCTTTCTAGAGCTTTTCAAATTTTAATGTCAATCTTTTAGGGACATTGTCAATTTACAGAAATGGCTCCCTCAGAATTATATGCTGTTCAGGAGATGTATTTTGGTACTTCACTAGCGCTAAATTTTTTTTCAAAGCTTCCATAAAAGCGACGCATTAATTTATAAATTAAACTTCAATGGGGTTTGCGTTTATCTAAATCTGTATTGTTACGAGGAGTAAAGGATTGATTGGTTTACTAGCCCCTATCACTACGGATGACTAGTAAAACGCATTAAAAATTGGCTCCTCCCATCTCTTCCTCCCACTCTCGGAATCTTCTATGCTTCAGAGTATGGTCTAAAGATGTAGGAGCATTTGGAAAGGATTTAAAAATTAAAATACGACGATGTGATTTTCAACACAAAGACCACAAACAGCTCTAGAGCACAAAAAGTATTTAACATATCACATCCAGAAGTTGGAGGAGTATAAAGTACAAGTCGTCCAGTCCAGTCTGCAGAGACGGCTCCTGCTTCCACCCTGCAAAAACCGAGCAAGCGACACGTCGCGACGAATTTCAGCTGCAGAAGAGGAAGAGCATCACCTGCAGTCCGAGGCGTGGGAAACGCTGTCGGAGCGGGTTTGTCAGCCCCAGAGGTGCGCGCAGAGGGTCCGGGGGCCGCTCAGGTGCTGAGTGAGAGGAACGCGAGCGCGACTAGGCAGGGTGAAGTGCAGACATTTCACCGAGGGGACGGCTCTGACCACAGAGACCGCTGCAGCAGGGGGTCCTCAGCAGCCACGGCACTGGCAGCCGCAACTGCCGGGGAGGCAGACCCAGTCAGAGAACCCCTAGCTCACTGGAGAGCTGGGGGCAAGGCGGGGCGCTGACGTCATCTCCCCTCCCCCAGTTCCTCCAAGAGGGAGGGAGTGGGGAAAAGAGACTGCGATCCGCCGCAGCTCCCGGCCGCAACTCCTCAACTAGGCGGCTGGCTGCCTGGACATGTCCTGACAAACTTGGCTTCTCTCCTGCCCTCTCCAGCGCTCGCGCATTCTCTTTTCGTCTCCTTTTGGTGCTCAAGTTTCCCCCTGGTCGGAAGCCTCTGGAGATGCTGCCATCTGGGTCCCAGCAGCGCGGGCGGATCGCACTCTGGTTGGGGATATGCTGAAGATCCAAGAGAAGCAAAGTTGGTACTTAAAACACGGCTCTTAACAATATCCAAACCGCGTGCGAATTACCCAACTGCCTGGGAGCGCAAAGCGGAGCACCGAGGACTGGACTAGAGTGGTAAGTCCTTTGTTTAATACATGCTTTTTTTTTTTTTTAAGTTTAAAGGTAAATGAAATAACGTGGGCTGTTTGGCTCCAAGAGAATGCTGGATATGCGTGCATCTCGCAGGCTCTCCGCTCAAGGAACTGCACAACACTCTGGTTGTGCAGGGCTTGGGAATGAAAGATCTGTGTGCATAGCTTTTGGAACTCAAAAAATACATACAGAGCACTGTTCAAAAGAACTTGAGAAGCAATGCCGTTTGTGCGTTATTTCGAACGTAACTTATTCTAGAAATGGTGCCCTGGGAGGGCGCATCGGGGACCGCATGATCTGCAGTGGCGCAGCGCCCTCTAGTCTGGACACCCGGCAAAGCGCACTCCTTGCCGGATTCCGCGGAAGGCGAACTTGGACCTGTGACTGCGGAGCACTCCAGGGACTTGGACGCGAGCTCAGTTGCCACTGCTTCAGCAGCCTTAATTTACCACCCAAACAGGCTGTAAATTTCCAAAAATCAGCTGGGGTGAACTAGATTCAAAGGCAGTCCTGGAGGAAAGGTTTTTAGTATTGGGAACTGCCCCCTTCCCCTTAATTTCCATGAGTCTCTGGGGGATCTGGTTGATTCTGTGTAAAGGACACATGTGGAACTTGAATCACATTTTTCTTTTATGTGAAGGTAATTCGACATTGGCCGAAAAGTCATCTCCATTTCGTTATGTAGAGGCTAAAGATCAGTAAAATCCTGGCAGCACCAGAGTCTGAATCTCTGTGGATCCCGTGGCGACGAAGTGCAACTTCTTCCAGGCAATTAGATTTCTCGGTGAGCCTGGCAACTCGTGATTCTCAAATAGATGTTTAGTTCTAGTAAGCCTATTATTTATTAATAGACAACAATTTTCTCTAGGATTCTTTTATGCCATTCAGAAAATCCTGTAATTTTATGTTACGGAATGGTATTTTTGTACTTTTTACTATTCTTCCTTTTCCCTCCTGGTACTACACCATGCTCTCCGTCCCCCAACCCCTGAACGGCTGGCGTTGTTGTGTGGTGGTATTTTTCTGAGAATTCAGCAAGGGGCGCAAACCGGTTGAGCTTGGAGATCAGGTCATTCACTTTCGAGGTGTTCCATGTATGAAATTGACCTGTAACACCAGTAGCACTTTGCGCAATTGAGGCGGTGGCCAAACAAGTCTTTGGATGGTGGTGTTTACTGAGTATGTGAATTTATGTGTATTCTAAATAGTGATCAGCGAATATGGTGCTATGAATCCGCACCCCCATTCTGTAGGCATTATTTTTTTCTTCCCCATCAAAACATGCTAGACACCATTATTTTTTTCAGTCATCTTATTTAAGATGGCTTAGGAAGTGATATTAACTTTGAACCAAGGAAACAGTGTTCTAACACTGGACTCTCTCGTCCATATCTGTCTCGCCATTCCCCCTGTAGCTCCTTCCACCGGTCCCAGGAAAATCAGATCTCTTGGTCCACACAGTGTGAAAATGTTGAAGCCCCAGAAACTTTCCGAGGTCAAGTTCGCTCTCTTTCCTGGGCTGCGTCTCAACGCTCCTGAACGCTCAGGGTTTCGGCTGAGTCTCAGTTGCGTTAAGCCCGTTTGGAGATCTGTGGGTGCAGGGATGGGCTTTCAGCCCTGGGACGCAGAGACTGGGCGCTCCCCCAGCAAGAGAGTTACCAGCGTGGGGGCGTTTGGCGCCGGCGACGGGGGCTCCCTTTTCTCCCTGGGGAACTTGTAGTCGTTAGACTGGATGCAGTTTGCGGAACTATGGGGGGGGGGGAGTGCACGAGGAGCCTTGGCTGCCTTTTGTCCGCAGACGGGGAGTTGGCGAGGGGTGGGGGTGGGGGGGTGTTGGTGTTGGTGCCCGGAGAGTCTGGCGCTGGGGTTAGCTGCCGGACCCGGAAGGTTCTGCGGTCTAACTAGTTCTGCACAAAGAGGTCGCGGAGGAAATACCTCCTTTCCCCTCGGACTTAGCTTAGATTTCAGGAGGAAGTAGATTCCTATCTTAACTACATTCCTTTTGTGACCTGTAGTAGTTTATTCCACCAAACAAACGCAGACCCAGAACCCAGGCATTCAAATGCAGATTCAGGAATTTCCTGAAAGTTCTAAAAAAGCCTGAGGGACGCGTAGCCCTCATGTCTTAGCTTTTTTTCTTTTTCTAAGCCAAGCGAATGTTACCCCTTTCCTAAAGGGGAACATTCCATATTTTCACCAGCATCTGCCTGCTGGCCATAACTAACGGCATTAGAACAAGCCCAAAGCTGTTCCTCGCTAGCACCGGCGCTTACTCTTATCCCTGCACAGAGCTGGCCTTTGTAGGTTCTCTTTTGACTTCGGGCAGATAGTTGTTACCTAGGACCCGTGGGCTCTGAGTCCCGCCGCCGCAGAAAGTCAGCTAGAGTTTCCGCGCTGGAGAAACGAGCGCCGGCGCAGGCAGGCGTGGCCGCAGGCGGAGGGATATCCTCCGTGCGGAGGTCCTGAGGCACCGGGCCGAGGTCCTGAGGCACCGGGCCGAGCTGGATGCCTCGGTGCCGGCAGCGCAGGCGGCGAGTGGTGAAGCCGGCTGCCAGCACCATGCGGACGTGCGGACCCAGTGAGGTCCCCGGCAGACCCGCTCCCCGCTCGGGGGCGCGCTGAGGCGACGAGGTGCGTGCCCCCGAGAGCGCTGTTGCCACTTGGGGCCAACTTTGCAGTAAGTTTGAAGGGAAGAAAGTTTGGAAAGTAGGTGAGGGCGCAGCGCCGCTCTGCGGCTGTCGGGCTGGAGCGTCTGTGCCCGGCGAGCATGCAACTTGTTCCCTCCTCGGGCTGGCTGTTAGGTGGGTGCCTTCTTGAGGCTGTCCAGCTCAGGAGTCTACTCCTCCCGGTATCCCAGTAAATCGGGAGAAAGAAAGAGTCCGGCTGGAAGGTGGTAAGGAGTTGAGTCCTCTTCTTTCCCCCTGGAAAGTTCAGTCGTGGCGCCCGGTTTGCGGCGGCTTGGGAGGATGCGGAGGCGGAGTGGCTTGGGGGTGGTAATTGGCGACGTGAACGGCATGGTAATTACTGGGTCTGGGGCTGCAGCGAGCCGGCGGCGGGCCCTGAGCGCGGGGTCTGGCCCGGGGAGCCATTGCTGGACATCGCGGCTGCCTCGTTAGGCTGGCTCCAGGCGGCCGAGGGTGAGCGCTGCTGACCCCAGCCCGGAACAGCTTGCACCGCTCCGCTTCTCCTTGCGGGTAACACTCCTGCCTGCTCCTGGATTGACTGATCTCTTCCAGTTTATGAAACATTTACTACGTAGGTGAGATGAAAGGAAGGCCCGTCGCGGAGAGTGGGGTCTTTGAAATGGAGTCGCAGAGTTGTCTTAGATGTTTTGTGCCCTGTAGGAGTGCTGCCCTGAGGTTTAGGTGCAACTGGTTGAATGCAGATTGAAGACTTGCGGTTGCTACACTGCGGGACTAAATGTTTGTAAAATATGCGGTTTGTCAGTTGTTTCTGTATTCTCTGGAAGAGAAACTTGTAAGATTTTCATTAAAGAGATTCTGGCTCTTCAGTACTTCTTAGTAAGGTGCTTTCTTTTAGGAAGATAACTTTCTCTTAAGATTTTTTTTTTTTTAATGAACCCAGTATTCTGAATTGCAGAGCTTTGGAAACAAGGATGCAATTTTATGTATTAGGAAAATACACTCATAAATATTTTTTATGCAGTTAATTTTTTTTTTGCATGTGTTTGGACTATGGTTTCATTAAGTGGCTTTTGTTAACTCCATGGTGACTGGTAGAGAAGAGTTTTTTCCTTTCCTTTCCTTTTTTTTTTTTTAAATAACAGTGACTTACAAATCATAAGAGGTGCATCAACCTTCAATTACTTACTTACCTTTTCCAAAAGCAGATTCCTAGTGCATCATCTATTCAGTATTGAATAGTTTAAGAAGATACTTGGCGGGTGTTGAAAATAGGCAATGGTTGTGTCCTTCATTGGAAGAGTTTAGGTTATGTTATCTGACACATTTAGTTGTTATAGGTACTCAAGTACCCTAGTTATATAGCTTAATTTTGGTATTTGTCTTTGTGTCTTAGGAGGATAGCTCTGATTCCACGATTAGAATCATCCCTTTTACCTTGTTATGTATTAGAAGGTTTATGATGTAAAAACACTTCAAATATTATGTAGTCGTAAAAAACAACAGTTGATTGTTATGTCAAATGTGCTGTTTAACAAGCTCAATGTTTTGATTAAAACTTGCATTTGTATATCCATTTCTGGAAAAATTAACATCTTAGAAAAGCCAAATTCTTTGTCACTGTGGAAGTAAGACAGGACTTCATAAAAATCATTTTGGCCACCTGTATTCCTTTTTTTTTTTTTTAGTAAGTGCTGGGGATTGAACTGGGGGCCTCACACATACTAGGCAAGCTCTTGACTGCTGAGCCATATCCCCAGCCCCTTATTTGTATCTTTTAATTTGTCACTAAAAGTGTCTATTGGGTTCTTATCATGGTAGTAAATCATTTAGAGCCATGTTAAAAGTTGTGGTGCAAATTAATACTATTTTCACTTTGCTGGGTCCTTGCCATTCTAGTGTATGTATGTCTTAGGCTTAGCTCTAGAGCCACCTATGAAGTAGTAATTTTCTTCAAATTTTAAAAATGGGACGAATCTTAAAGACTTTGTTTAAATCCTCAGGAAGTCTGCTACCACCTGTTTTTCACGCAAATATGTCTGATTTTACATAGAATCAATAAGGTGCCAAATCAGTTTAAAACACTATTACTGCATTAAATACTATCTCAATGGCCCAATTTGTGGCTGAAAGTATCTCCTGATTTAATAGAAGTCATAAGGCTTACTGTGCATTTTAATATTTGTGAGTGGGAATCTACAGTAGGAAAGTGTTCTTTTGAGCAGATAATGTAGAGATGAAACCAAGTTCTGTCTTCTGGACTCAGTTGTTCATTTTGCGAGTGTTGGCTTATCCATTTATTCTGGAAAGGAGTTTTAAAAATGGGTGATAGACATTTAATATTAGAAAATTGCTATTTTCTCCTTTCATATCTAAGAGGAGCATTAAACTTAAAAATGTATTCAATCAAATTAGAAATATATAAAATATATATTGTATATAGCATGTTTTTATGTTTTTTTTTTTAAAGTCTTCCTTTCTGAAAGTCTCAGATTTAAATATTATCTAAATTCTTGCTTAATTCCAAGGTTCATTGTATAGGAGAAGTCCATAAAGTAATTATATATCTTCTTAAGCTTCTAAGAAAATTAGTCATCTTTATCTTTCAGAGACTATTAAAAGTATAGAGCTTCATGATAAGGTCTATTGTACAGGCACCCATCTGGCATTACCTGTAGCCAATTTTGAAGCATTTTGATGTGGATAGTGACCTCTTTTTGGGCTCCTGGAATCTAGAGCCATCTGCAGGGCCATTTGCAGTGTTGTTACTGGCTTGGTGATTGTGCCTGGATTTCTTATTGAGAGTAATGGATGTATTATTATTTTTTTTTCATATTGACCCTCCTTGTCTCCCCTCCCCTATTTAGTCTTGCCTTTTATTCTCTGTTCTTAATCTTAATCCATCTATCCATTTACCAGTCCAACAGCTATGGATCCTCTCTGTTCCAAACTTTGGGCTAAATGCAGTATACAGTAGTGAACAAGTTAGGTTTCCTCCCCTTAACAGAGATTGCAGTCCACTGAGGGAGAAAGATATTAAACATCAAAATCAGTGTTAACAAGAAGTCCATTTGGGTCAGGACAGTCCATCAAAACATTTCAGCAAGCTGGAGATCTGGGATTAGGCAGATATAGGAAAGGA